TCTTTGGTTGTGGTTCCTTCCTGAGGAAGGAACAAACATCGAAGCCCATGTCACAATCTAGTGCGCCACAGTATGATGTAGCACAAGATCTGGCAAACAAAGTACGAAAGGTGGCTGTAGCCTTGGCCCTAAGGTTCCAAGCAGGTATTACTGATAGACTTGTAGGTATTATTTCTATACTTTAGGGCCAAATGTCGATATTATCTACATACGTGGATCCTTACGGAGGAGGAAGCGGTGTCCAGATTTTCGGGTCGCTTGCGAGGACTGTGTCTCGCTGTGTTGGCTTGCAAGCAGAGTTGAGAGCCATCTTCTGTCTTAGGTTTCAGCTGCAAGCCCGAACCCTAAATCCACGTCCCAGACACCAAACCTTGAACCCAACCCCTCAATCCTCAACCCCAAAACCAAGCCCTCATTCCACTCCGCTTTACACCAAAGTGTTTGCAGGGTGTAGAGAGCTGAGGGGCAAGGTGCGGTTCAAAGCGTTTTGGACAGAAACTTGAACATGAGGAGGTTTTGATTTCATTTCGTCCTCGCCAAATGGTCTGGGACCATTTAAGGAGCCGAGTCCCAAGGGGAAGACCTTATGACAGTTTCTTGCCGCTTTCTGCGCCCAAACCCAGCTCCAAGCCCTTCTCGCGATCGGATGATTTGCAGCAGCGCTTGGAAGGTGTGTAGGACAGTTGAGCGATTGGGACGCCATTACGAGGATCCCTTTCTTTGGCTTTCAGGAAGTCATTGACGAGGCCCGGGGCATCGGAGGCGGTACCAAGAAATTTTGGAGGCTCAAGGAAACCGCCGGCTCTAAGACGTGGGCCGCCATCAAGTCCTTGCTCACCCGGCGCGGATTGTTTGCAGCAATGTCTTTTTCATCGGAGTTTTCGCACAGTCGCACAAGCGCAAGGCCAGTAGACATCCTAAACCGAACCAAAACCCCAAAGCCCCAAAACCTTGAAATGCTAAAGCCTTAATGAACTCTCATCCCCTAAACCCCAACCCCCCTTTACCCCAAAGCCCTTCAACCCTAAAGGCCAGCCCCTTGAGCCTACACGTCCTTGCGCCTCACCCGCAAAGGTCGCTACAAAAAGCAAGAAATTGCAGCGTACTGGGAAGAATGCGAGGCGGATTTTGCTATCGTTTTGGGTGAGGGTTTTTGGGCGTTCATTTGCGATTCATGCATGTGTTTGTTCCTTCGCGATTTAATTTATGCATGCGTTTTACAGGGTGTCTCCTTGCAGATACAGAAACAAGGCCTGGCTCGTTCGCACATAGCGTGGGGGTGATTTGGACGAGACTTGAGCACTGTCTATTCACATTTGTTGCAGGCAGTGCCTGTTCAGATCTATGTTTGTTGGGCAAGGTTGTCCCGAGGTAGCTGCGTGAGTCCTTTCCGACTTTCCGGAAGTTTCCTTGAAGGGTCTTCGGAGTTGGGACTCTAAACATACTGCACTTCATCGTACCAATTTAAACAGGACACGCATTTGCACAACCTCTCCTCATGAAGCCTTCTCTTGCTGCTGCTGAGAACGCGAGGTCCCGAACTTATATCCTGGTCATAAGCAAGTCAGCTCCGTATATTCTCACCCCCCAACTGGGCATTAGACTCTATTTATGCACATGTTCAAAATCGGGCGGCCGGTAGTACCGTCCCTTGAATGATTCATGCCCTGGGCCCCAACACTCGTGAAGTGCGTTTCGCGTAGACGTGGGGCTATATGTACACTGATGGACGGGACACAGGCCCTGGACCAGCTCGTAGGCCCTGCCACGCAGCAACCCTCAAGCCCCAAGCCCTAAACCCGAAACCCAACCCCTAAACCCTTAACCTTGAATCCATCATCCCGATATCCACAAACCCTAAACCTTTAAACCCCTAACCCCCTAAAGCCCTAATTAAGTCCTACACCCCAAACCTTGGGCCAGGTTTCTACCGTGCCCTCGTCTGAGCCTAAGTCTGTGCCCCATCCTTGCTAGAAGCTGCTGCCGAAATATGAGGAAGGATTCAGCCTGAAAAATGTGGATTTAGAAATTGGGTTTGGAGGCTAGGGGTAAGTCAGAGTTTGGGGTTTGGGGGTTTAGGGTCTAGGGTGTCGGGCTTGAGATTTGAGGTTAAGGGCTTGGGGTTTAAGGTTAAGGACTTGGGGTTTGGAGTTGAGATTACATAAGGATGAAAGATTTGGGATTTGGGGACATGGGTTTGGGGTTTCGGCTTTGACGTTTGCGGTTTGGGGCTTCAGGTTGCGGATTCCCCAAGCCCATACCCTTAACCTTCAGAAGGCCCTTAAAAAGGAGAGTATAGAGTCGGAGAACACCATACCCTAAACCCTAAACACTAAACTGCACACTACTAAACCCCGTATTTCTTGTAGGGGCATGCCTTGGGGTATGTTGAACATTTCTTTGAACAAGGCTGGGCACGTTCAAGATCGATGGTGAAATAGCACCGCTCTCAGACGAACTGTGAGGTGGTTGGCACCTTGGGAGTGTACTGAGTCCTTAAGTTGGTTTAGGGTTTTGGGTCAGAGTTTAGGTTCCCCCCATGTGGGGAGCAGTAAGTTAGGCCAACAGCCACAGACGCACGCCTCAATCGCATGGCTTTCAACGCGCACCTGTTACCCATAGCCGGGCACCAAGATGTGGGGGTCCTTTTTAGGGTCTATTTTGGTCAGGTTTTTGAAACTCTTGTGTAGACCTGAAACGATGGGATCACGGATGCAAGTCCCCAACACCACCCTTACTGAAGCCTTACTGCTTCCTTTCCCCCCAAGCAGGGCAAAAACCCTAAACCCCAAACCCTAAACCCTTCGCTTGATCTGTTTTACACGAATACTTGGGCTGGGCACCTGAGAGTCAGACCTTCACTTGGAGGTCCAGTCCACTCAGAACCTCAGTAAAACTGTTTTTATAAGCAAAGTATAGCCTAGGGTACCCTACTTAGAGAGATTATAACCGGCTTATACCCTACACCCTAAATCCTAAACCCGACATCCTAAACCCTTGCCCTAAATCCTACACCCTAAACCCAAAATAAGTGCCCTGGATTATAAGTGCCCTGGACCTCCAATTAAAAAAAAGCCGCTGATCCCAGGGAGTCGCTGGACCCCAAGATCCACCGGCCCAACCCGAAGCCCTAAACCTGAAACCCTAAACCCAAGCTCCTAACGGTTTGGGGCTTAGGGTTGATCTTGAACCCTATGAGCCCCAAACCCTAAAGCCTAACCCCACACCCTAAACTCATGTTTGTCTTATGCCCTAAACCCAAGGCCCTAGACCTGAAACCGTAAACCCCTAAAGCTCAAAATTTCTTGAACGCTAAAGGTTGTACCCTAAACCTGAAACCCTAAAACGCAAACCCGAGAACCCTATGCCCTGAGCCTGACACTTTATACCCCAAACTCCAAACCCTCAGCCCCGAACCGCAAAGCTTTGTTGGAGGTTCATGGGTACTTATAGATAGGATTATGAGTACTCTTTAGGGTCTTGGGTTTAGGGGTGTTGATGTAGGATACTATACTTATAACCTTCTTCATAATTCCGCATGAACCCTAAGCCCTCAACCCTAAACCCTAACCTCATACCCTAAGTCCCTAACCGTAAAGCTGCAAATCCTTACGCAAGGCTCCAAGGGGCGCGGGCCGCCACAGGGAGCTGGTTGCTTGGAATAGTGGCGAGGAGGACACAGAGAGTATAGGGTTCAGGGTCTAGGGTCTAGGGTTTAGGTGTTTAAGGTGTAGGGTTGAGGTTTTGGGGTGTAATTAGGCTTTGGGGTGTAGGATTTAGGCTTTAGGGTTTAGGGTTTAGGGTTTGGGGTGCAAATTTAGGTTTTAGGGTGTAGGTTTTAGGGTTCAGGGTTTGGGGTTTAGGTTCAGGGTTCGGGTTTAGGGTTTGGGGTATTTTCGGGGACGAGTGTCCTGGACGTTAGATTGTAGGGTTTAGACCCTTAATCCCAAACCCTAAATCCTAAATCCCAAAACCCTTAAACCCACACAAAAAGAAACATACCCCCTAAATCCCCAAACCCTATAGGCCTGGACCCGAACTTCTAAACCGCAACCCCTCAACCCTAAACCCTAATCCTTGAACCCTAAACCCTCAGCCCTCAACCCTGCACACACCTGGACCAGGACCGAGCAGGCGTCTCCCTCACCCTCGAGTCCGAGTCCGGTCGCCTTGGCGTCGAGGCCCCGGCTCTTGTCCAGGGCCGTCGGGTTTAGCTTATACCTGGTTGATATGTGATGAACTTACACGTGTGTCTAATCATTCGTTGCATGTATGACTGCTGACACTAGTGCTCTGATAGACAAAAGGCATGCGCATGCCATGGTACGGTGAGCTCTACTACCACTTGAACGGGTATACTACATCATCAGTGCGTGTGCAGTGGTTATCCTATTCTATAGTATGTGCAGTTGAAACTAGATTGGGCGCCTCCTTGACCTCCCAGTAGATACCTGTGCACGGGTAAGTAGGTATCCAGCAGACGGTCCAGCTATGGATGCCAAAAACTGATCGATTGCGGTTTCCACACGTGGTCGATCCCTCTTTCTGTCCTTTGAATGATCCCTGTTAGAGATCTTGAAGCTTTTCCTGGGCCATGGCTAGAAATCACTTTACATGTCAGGGTAGATAGCAACCTTCTATGTAATAACAGAATTGTCCTTTTAAGATGACCCGAACAAGAACCCAGTTGTTCGGATCGGAAAAGAATGCTTTCAGGAGTGCCAAGCAACAACACCAGTTTCCAGCTCTCCCGGGCTGCAGGCTTGGAACCAGTTCGAGTATAACGAGAAGCACTTCGGCATCACCAGTACCTACCGGGAGGATGCCTGCAGTGGAAAGGTTCGAAGACTGTCTAGGGGACATATTCAGCATACCCCAAAGGCATACCCCTACAAGAATGTAAAGGATAAAAGCCTCGTATGCTTAAGGGGCATGGGCTTGGGGTATGCTGAGAATTTCTTAGACTGTTGTTTCTTGTTGGCAGTCGCCATTTGCCGCAGGAACTATACACCACGGCACTCAACGTGGACGACATCCCACAGTGGATGAGGAACAAGGTGCAGATCTCAGCAAAGTTAGGGTTAAGCTTGCACAAAAGATTGTTTACAAGCTGGTGAACTAAGAACTTGAAGACCATAGTAACAAAAAGAAGCAGTCATCCTGTTTTCAAAAAACCCCTAAACTCTAAACCCTACTACTCATGATTGAAGAGCGTGGCTGCGAATGGCTGTGATGCATCAGCTGGCCACAGCTTCAGATGGCTCTGAGGCTGAAGCCGTCGCCACGGCAATCGAAAACGGGCAGATGCTAAGCTGCAGATTAGGGTTTAGGTTTTAGGCTTTAGGATTTAGGCTTGAGGCTTCTTTCTCTGAGCTAGTTGTCTTGCGCGCGAAATGAAGCGTCCAGGAGCTACGGCAGAAAAGAGGAAGCCGTGAACGACGTGGGAGCCTGAAACACATGTCTTTCAGAACATAGCTTCGTGTTGGCAGTGCTGCACTGCCAGGACATGGACGAAGAAGCGCAGTTTAGCGCCGTCGGCTCTTCGCAAGTTCGGGTGGCTTGTCTCAAAAGCACGTGCACCTCTGTGCTGATTGAAACGCGTGCACTTCGCCTGCCGCCTGCACGAGCTGCGGGGTTCATGCTTTGTTGAAACTGATCTTAGGAGCCAGTTTTTCACCGTCCGCTGACAATGGACCCGGGGCTTTCCGAAACGACATGTTGCTAGTTGCCAGTTGATTTTGTGGGCAAGTTCCAGCTAAACCCTAAGCCTTAAACCCTAAACTCTTAAACTGTGCATCGCGCAGGAGAACTTGTCGCACCATGCTGCTGCCTCTGCAGCAGACCCAGCTGGAGTTGGTAATCCTCGTTGGCAACTGTTGATGACGAAAGTCTTGCATGGCCTTGTATCTGTTATACTACCACAATCCCTAGGGCTTCTATACATGTATATACATACATGGGGTCATGCACGGCTTTGATTACAGCAGCAGCATCACGGCACTTCCCGGCTACCCAGGGCCTCGCCCGAGAGCACATGGCCAAGCGCTACCTGATCACAGCGTACCCCTCGCTCGAGCCTCGGGGATGCAATGCAGACCACAGTCGGCATAAATAAACACTAAACCTTAAAGCTAAATCTTGAACCCTAATACACCCTAACCTTATTGGACCCGTTGTGTCAAGATCTAGACTCTAGACAAGAAGCCTCATCATACGCAGTTTTCTTCGAGGCGTGCCGCCTTGAATTTTGGGTGCTGGCCTTAGGGGCTCGAGCGTGCTTTCCATTACAGCGGCTGTTTGAGACCCACTAAGGGACTTTAATGAAAGTCCCCAAACAAGGAACCCCAAGAATATAATAAGACTAAAATAGGGATATGCCTACCAGGATGTTTCATTCCTATTCCATTGCCACTCTATTCTTGAGTTGCGGTTCCCATTGCAGTCTCGTTAACTGGGCTCCTGTTAAGGAACTTAAATTAAGTTGCCATATTCTGGGTCTTCTAGCAAATGGTCGTAGGGTCTCCTTATTATGATTATAGTAGCGTAACTTAACTTAAGTTCCTTAGCAGCAGCTGCGAATGTTAAACCCTAAATCCTAAACCCTAAACCCTTGGGTCTAAGCTCTTTATGGCACTGATCTGAGCTACAAATATAGGGTCTTGAACTGCGGATGGGGATCCTGTAGCGTAAGACAAGATTGCCTGCCTCATCGCCGCTATAGCCGATTTGTTGGTATGGCTCCCCCGTGCATGCAGCCGACCAAGGTGAATTCCCGTAACATGAACTATCCCTTACAAATACGCGAGTTGAAATCAAAGATTTGTACCAACAGTTTACACCCGAGCCACAGCAGGAACCTTAAGTGACCAGGTACTGAAGGACTTTGGTTTTCTATAGAGAATAAATACTCAGTAGCCGAGTTCTCAAGCTTGAAATCTTTCTTTCGGAGCCTCTTCTTATGACTTGCAACAAATTTTTCTTATTTAAGGACTTGGACCCCCGCATGGCTTTGTTTCAGCACCCGGGTGTTGATGTGGGAATCCGTAGCAACATCAATGCAACTTCACGCACATGTAACTAATTTGGCGAGGTTCCGGCCATGATTGCAACCGTAAACTAAACCCTAAAACCAGCTACAAAATCGACGCGTGCCAGAATGATTTAGAGGAATCCCCGTCTAAGGAAGCAAGAGCCCTGCACTAGCCCTGCACTACTTGAAGGCTCAGAGAACTTAGTTAGTAGGGTTCTAAGTTCTAAACCCATTCTAAATTCTAAGCCCTTTTATTATTCGGACAAAACAACTTGGCAAACCCTTAAGCCCTAAACTCGCAGCCCTAAACCCTAAACCTTAAATCGTAAGCCTTGAAACCCTCAAACCCAAAGCTTTCAGCCCTGAAACTGAAGGCCCTAAACCACACAACCCTAAGACGTAATACCTCGAAGACCGCAACAACCTAAATCATGAACCCTGATTCCCGAACCCTTTCCCAGCCTGAACCCCCCAAGAAACTTCTGGATTTAGGTGTTTCGGGTTTACACCCTAAAAGCCCTATGCCCTAGACCCTGCACCCTACACCTTAGAGCCTTACACCCTAACCCCTAAACCCCCAAACTGCAAATCTCAACTCTACACTTCACGTTACCACAGCGCCCAACCCAGGAGCAACCCCTGTGGCTCGACCAGTTGCAGAGGTCAGCAGAGGGATGAACTTGGGGGTTGAGGGACTGGACGTAGGGTTGAGCGTCGGGGCTCCTTTGGGGGAATCACCAAAAGATCTTGCGCTTATAAGCTTTGGGGCTCAGGGCTTGGGGCTTGAAGGCACCCCAAAAGCCTTAAGTTTCTCAGCGCTTTCCGAAGGCCGTGACCTTAACCTTCGATCCGCACTCCCAAGACCCGAAACCCCTGAACCCCCAAAGCTTCGTAATCCTATAATACTCTAATCGTACGATAAGAAGTCATGATATTATAATACTATACTGGTAGTATAATCATAATTCTATAATATGATAATACTACTGAGAAAGCCACAGGGCCGGAAAAACCCAAACTTTGAGTCCTGATTGCGGGTCGGAGGTTAGAGGCTGCAGATTTAACTTGCGAGTTTCGGTTCAGAACTTTGCGCTTTGGTTGACTCCAGAAGCAAGGATTGAGGATTCAAGATGAACTTACTGGTGGTTACAGGACGATACATGCTGGCCTTTACCTTTTGGGTTATGAGGATGACGATGTTCCAACTTTTTGGAGTTTACTGTACCTTTACTTAACCGTCGAAATGCAACACGCACACACACACACACAGGTGGAAACTCGCAGGAGCAAATCCCAATCTTGACACGCGCCCTCACATCCCTCAAGCCCAAACCCCAAAATTTGGAGTTGCCAAAACCTCATGGTGGAGCCTGGCTGTTTTACGTCGTCATTTCCTCAATGTGACTTTACACAACCCTAAAACGGTCAAGTCCCTGAGTTCCCTTGCGCTGGGAGGACGTCCCTCCAGCAGCTCCAGCAGCAGTTCTTCCAGCACCGATGGGAGCGGGACACTTGGGGGGCTACGACTTCGCCATCCAGCTGCTCTAGGACTAGGAATTATGAAGGGGCCCCAACCCCAGCTAGTGCTGAAACTCGACTAACATCCAGCCGGCATGAAAGCCTGTTAATCTCCCGCAGGCTCATCAGAATCAGCAGCATGCTGCTTCTAACCCGGTAGAGGCCTCAGGAGTTTTTGCCGGTGCAAGCCTTCGGATTCGAGGTTTAGGAAAGTTTAGGGTGGAGGCCCGAAGACCTATTTACAGCCTAAAAACTGAAGCTAAACCCCAGACTGGAGGTTCTAGTGTAGAAACTGGGGTTTAGGGCTTCAAGGTTGTAAAGTGTTGTACGCTACATATAGACTAGGGCTTGGGGAAAAAAGGCTTCAGGGTCTCAGGTTCAGGTTTGGGGTTTAGGGTTAAGTTTAAGGTTTAGGGTTTAGGGTTTTAGGAATTTGGGTTTTTGGATTTAGGGTTTAGGGGCTATAGGGCTTAGAGGTCAGGGGTGAGAATTCAGGTTAAGCTTGACAGTGGGGTTTGAAGCCCGGAAGGAAAGCCCGGAAGGAAGTCCTCCCCGCACTAAGGGTGTCCGTTTTGCGCTATTTTTTCGGGAACCCCTGAGAGAAAAAGGGAAAACGGGAATTACAAAGGGACCTTGGAAACTAGGCTGCTCTTGACTACCTTGCTAAATTTCAAATCTTAAGTACCCCTAATACAGAAAGGCCAATTGGCTAATCCTAAAAGTGGTAAAAAAGCGAAGAACTGGACTGCGTAGAAGATGCTGGGGTACATCGGAAACAGTTTCCAGCATTGACCAAATGGGAGTTTGCCTAAATTACTGTTCTTCGAATGGGGAAACCTGTTACGTAGAGACCCGTCATAACGGGAAACCAGAATATAGGGACCCCTGCTATAGACATTGAAGAACCATCCCAATTGATTGTGTTGTCCGAAATAGGATCTCTATCCACAACCATGACCTTAAAAATCCCTTGATCCCTGAACCTTGAACCCTAAAGCCCTTAATCCTAACACCCTAAAACCCTAAACCAAGGTCGGCTTCCACTCATCTGTCCCAAAGCCGATTTTGGCTTCCAGTTCTGCATGAGACCTCAGAGACGCCAGATATCCTAGTTACGGGTTCTCTCCCACCAGCCTCTAAACCTAAAAGTTTTCGGGCCTCAACCCGATTTCAACAGTCCACCAGTCCCAGGGTGTTTTTAGGAAGTTATGTTCGGTTTCTGCTCCTTTGCAGCGGGATCTGCAGAAAGCCTATTCTGCTGGTCCGTCTAAGAAGACCCTTAAACCTTGAAGCCTGAACCCTGAGCCTTAAACCCTGAACCCTAAACCCCGTTCTGAACCCTAAACCCTAAACCGTTGGGGAAGTAGGTTTTATGGAGTTTCTGAGACGTGCTCCCCCCTAAGGGGCACCCGAATGAGAGCAGCCTCTCCACCTTGGTCCAGCGCCAACAAACGAAGCCTACTTAAAGGCTCATGGGACTTAGCAAGCATCATCCCGTTATGATCTATGATATCATGGGTTTGGTAGGAAGTTTGGCGGGACGGGTCCAAGGAATGGAGCAGACGGTTGGCTCGTCTGTAGTTCAACTTATGTAGACCCCCTGTGGTCAATGAGCTCTTGTCCCTTATAATAGGTTTAGAGGTTAGGTGGTCGGGGTCAGAGATTTATTGCGAGAGTCTTCAGACTCAGGCCTCTAGAAACAGGAGTTCATTAAGCAGGGTCTCGTTGGATTTTGTTTTGAGTATCCTTCAAGGTATGAGGAATTTAGCAAGTTGGCTGTAAGTCCCCCAAGTGGGGTTGTTTGAAAGCCAAACTCATAACCTATTGGCTCACTTCCCGAGGTCTTCAACGTGGCTTCAGTATGTAGGGTCCGGTCGAGGTGTTCCCGGAGCGAAAACAAGCTAGCACTGCACGGGTAGCTTTGCATTTTTACCCGGAATTTGCACTTGGCATCAGAGTGGCTGGAACCTTCTGCCTATCCAGTCCGAAGGCAAATCAGAGTTCAAGCGCTCTTATGTCAGATGACTGCCGAGTACATCAGCTGCCACGTGAAAATCAGAATCTAAACAATGTAACCCCCCTAGACCCTAAACCTCCAAACCTCTAAACTCCCTAAACTCTGAACTAAACTTCAAAGCGTGGTTCTTCCCTTTCTGGCCAGACTTCGTCAGTATTCCCATCAATCCTGGGGCATGGTAGTTCCCACAGAAGCCCTAGTTAAACTTTAAAGCCTCAAGCCCAAGACCCCAAAACCCTGCCAAAAGCCTGAACTCTCAATCCTAAAAGCCTCAACCTGTAGTAGGTTTCGGACAGCGACTAGCCTCCCGGCATGAAGTAACACTTACAGAGTAGTTGAGCAGGTAGCCTTTAACATGCTTGGGGAAACTTAACCCCTATTTATTGCTCAAAAGTTAACCTTCATTGATTTTGGACAACCTAAGATAGAATTTGGGTTCCGGTGTAGAAGGTCGCCACGTATCCTAAAACGGGTTTAGGATTTAGGGTTTAGGGTTTTAGGATT